CTTTAAATAGTACTAAATCATCTTTCAAAATTCAAATCTGTTATTTATAAGAAGGTTATGCAGCCTCCAGAGTGCTTGTTCTTCCATTTCTCTTAATTTGGATGACTTTCTTTCCCTGCTTACATCAACAAAAGGAGACAACCCTACCATTAGGCAGCAAAGGATTTATTGCTGATGGCAGAAGCTGAGGCACAGTAAAGGCAGATTCTTGAGGTTTCCAACTTTTCCCCTAAATATGCTAATCTATCTATGGCCCTTTATGCTAGCTTTCTTCCTTGAGTTTGGTGAAGGATGGCAGCCCAGTCAGCTTCTGTAGACAGAATAGGAAAGGTACTGACAGCAGAATACCTTGGACCAGCCTAGCAGAAATCTTTCAAGGGATCAGGTGTAAAACAATGATGATTGCATTTTAAGACAGGGAATAAACTTTGAAAAGGACACCCAACATCTATTATGAAAGTCATATCAAAAGTTTTCACCATAATAGTGTGAAAAGTAGGTAAAGGTCAGTCATAGACCATCCCTTTGTCTACTGATATGTGGATTGCTCTTATCATCGTCTCTACCACAATTGGCAGTCTGGTACCTTCCAAATGTTTTAGATGATCAAAATCTTTAGTTAGTAGATTCAATATTATAAAGTCTATTTTAAATAAAATTGACAAATATCTGATAATAGTAGGTAGAATTCGTATCATTGTTTAACAAGTTCAGACATAAATTAAAAACTAATTTTAAACAATCATTCATTTTCAGGCTACAGCAAGATAATACAAGAAATGTAGTGCAGCAACCAAGCAAGAGTTGAAACGAAAAAGATGTATGAACTGTAAAGTCCAATAAGAAAGTTCCAATTTACACTTGGATTTAATTATGCCCATCATCCTTCAAATACAATTCTTAACCTTGACAAAATGTTTGCTCTTGTTTCATGGGAAGGACAAAACTGGCTTTTCTTTCTTTCTTAATTGTGAATAGTAAGATTGAGTTCTAGTGGTAATGCACTGCTTCCAGCTAGTTATTTTAGGTATCTCAACTAGATAGCTTAACAAACTATCACTCCCTCTTGCCTCTTACTCTCTTTTCCAGCCAAATGTAAATTCTAGAGTAGGGCTGATGACCTTTCATCGGAGAGAACAGATGAAAATCATGCAAAACAGGGGAGTGCAATGGGGGAATGATCAATGCCAATTAGAAGAGACATTCAAAACTTTTTATCTTGCTTGCCAGAATTATTCCATCTTACCTAAACAGATGACCCAAAACAAAAGGATGTGTGTTGTTATGACACAGACCTATTGTCTGAACACCTTTCAGTCTGTTTGGAAACTTAATTCCTCTTTTCAGATTTAACAGGTTTTCTTCAGGTTTTAAAAGTTGTAATATGTAGTCACACTGCCCCCTGCTGCATAGTCAGCAGATATCTTTTGATGTAAGGAAACAAGCTTAGTTTTATCGAAGGACAAAAAAATACATGCTAAGCAACATTGAACACTATTCACTGACGAATGAAGGCATATATATGTGTCCCAGGATCCTGTATTATTCACTGGTTCAACCATGGCACAATTGCATTGTTAATGTAGCCATGCTTTACTGACTAAACCTAACTGGTTTATCACACTTCATGCTATACCATAAACCAGATGTAGGCAACCTTGGCTCTTTTATGACTTGTGGACTTCAACTCCCAGAATGGCTGGCTCAGGAACTCTGGGAGTTGAAGTCCATGAGTCATAAAAGAGCCAAGGTTGTCTACCCCTGGCATAAACCAAAGGTCCCCAACCTTTTGACACTAGGGACCAGTTCCGTGAAGGTTTTTCTGCAGACCACAGGGGGTGTAGTTCATGTACTGCCGGCATCCCATGGGTGGGGCTTTGCTTGCGCAGACTGGTTTCTGGCATGCCACGGCCCGGTGCCAGTTCACAGATTGGGGATTGGGGACCCCTGCCATAAACCTTGGTTTACAAAACATTGTGGAAAACTTGGACTTTTATAAACAACTAAAACAAATGGAGACCTGTGACAAGTTTCTTTATTGAACAAGACTAGTGATCACAGGGCGCCCAGCACAGAGTGCACAAGCCCTAAACAGTAAATATTAGGTAGGCATGGAAGGACAAGATATCATGAATAATTACCATCAAGGGGCATCTTCTCAGATGGTAGGGTAGTAAAGCCTTGCCAATGGATGGTGCACCATGAAGCCAGCCCACATTGCCTCAAATGTATGTGTCAGTTCACATTTATCGTAATAGTATCCTCTCTCAAAGCTTGGCATAGCTACTCTGAGGCCTTTGTGAGTAGGCAAAGGAACCATTTGTACCAGGATTCCCTCCAATGTGAAGATTCTAGCAAGATTGTGCCTTTCAGAGATGCAACTCCCTTGATGCTTCAAGCAACATATCCAATGGGCATGTCCATACTTTTGAAAAGTGTCCTCTCAAATACTTTATGCAGCACAAAAATTTGGCTTTTGAAGGAAGCTATATGGGCATCAACTGATTTTCCTAGTCACCATTTCTTTTTCTGAAACTTAGAGCTAAAATATTATTGCTTATTATCACTAACAGTCACAATCCTGCTTACCTCATTGCCAATTAACTTCTTCACATTTTAGAAGAGTCATTTTAAAAATTCAGTTAGTCAGCATTTCACAGTCTAGAAGCAATTTATCTATTCCATGATTATCAAAACATGGGTCTTGTACACTTATTTGCTGAGATAGAAAGGAAATTTATAATCCATTCATTATTAGTAGATATCTGCTAATCAGTGATGAATCTGGTGGTATACAAAGAGAGGCCATCTTAAATTAGAGAATATATAAATCTTGGGAGTAAATATATGAGAATTTATTGATCTTGATCTGTATTCTAAAGCAGATGTAGAAAACTGACAGAAAACGGTAAAAGGGCAAACTGCTCATAAGGTACTTTGCATTTCCTGTAGGAAAGAAATCTCTGATGGCTGTAATGTTTTTAAAGTCAGTATCTATACAACAACCCAAGTAAAGATCGCTATTGGTATGTAAACATTAAGAGCAAGGAAAGAGCTATCTAAAAAAGTTAAGGATTTCCTTGCTATGTTATGAACTGTCAGATCCATATCTAAGGGATAATTGATGCTAAATAATACATTAATCCATGTACAGATTTGGACAGATCTATGGTTCAAACTATCGCACCATTGCACTCATTTCACATGCTAGTAAAGTTATGCTTAAAATCCTACAAGCTAGACTCCAGCAGTATGTGGATCGAGAACTACCAGAAGTACAGGCAGGATTTCGAAGAGGCAGAGGAACTAGAGATCAAATTGCCAACATAACGCTGGATCATGGAGAAAGCTAGGGAGTTCCAGAAAAACATCTACTTCTGCTTCATTGACTATGCAAAAGCCTTTGATTGTGTGGATCACAACAAATTGTGGCAAGTTCTTAAAGAAATGGGAGTACCAGACCATCTCATTTGTCTCTTGAGAAACCTATATGCGGGTCAAGAAGCAACAGTGAGACTGGACACGGAACCACTGATTGGTTCAAAATTGGAAAAGGAGTCCGGCAAAGCTGTATACTGTCGCCCTGCCTATTTAACTTATATGCAGAGCACATCATGAGAAAGGCAGGGCTAGATGAATGAAAAGTTGGAATTAAGATTGCCGGGAGAAATATCAACAACCTAAGATATGCAGATGATACCACTCTAATGGCAGAAAGTGAAGAGGAACTAAAGAGCCTCTTGATGCGGGTAAAGAAGGAGAGTGCAAAAGTTGGCTTGAAACTCAACGTTAAGAAAACCAAAATCATGGCATCCGGCCCTCTCAATTCCTGGCAAATAGATGGGGAAGAAATGGAGGTAGTGACAGATTTTATTTTTCTGGGCTCCAAGATCACCTCAGATGGGGACTGCAGTCAAGAAATTAAAAGACGCTTGCTCCTGGGGAGGAAAGCTATGGCAACTCTAGACAGCATAGTAAAAAGCAGAGACATCACCCTGCCAACAAAAGTGCGTATAGTCCAGGCCATGGTTTTCCCAGTTGCAATGTATGGCTGTGAAAGTTGGACCATAAGAAAGGCTGAGCGCAAAAGAATTGAGGCCTTTGAACTATGGTGCTGGAGAAGATTCCTGCGAGTCCCTTGGACTGCAAGGCGTTCAAACCGGTCGGTCCTAGAAGAGATCAATCCCGACTGCTCTTTAGAAGGCCAGATCCTGAAGTTGAAATACTTTGGCCATCTAATGAGAAGGAAGGACTCACTGGAAAAGGGCCTAATGCTGGGAAAGACTGAGGGCAATAGAAGAAGGGGACAACAGAGAATGAGATGGCTGGATGGAGTCACTGAAGCAGTAGGTGTGAACTTAAATGGACTCCAGAAGATGGTAGAGGACAGGAAGACCTGGAGGAACGCTGTCCATGGGGTCGCGATGGGTCGGACACGACTTCGCAATTAACAACAACAAATGGTTTGGACAGATCTATGGTTTCCTCACTAATCAGAGAAACAATGCTACAAATATTGGAACTGACTGTCTCTCTACATGGCAGCTATTTATTTATTTATACAAGCATGTATGTACACAAACTTATTTCTCCTAACGTTATCAAATCTATTTAAGCATTCCTCCCAAATTGAAGTGGCTTTCACATAAAAGTCTTTCAGATATTATTCTGTCATTTGCCAGTTTTATCCTCAAGAAATGGTACTATGCTTGAAAATTTATCCAGGTTCTATTTTAAAAAAAAAAGGAATTGTTTCTTAATCTCCAGTGATCTATGGGACAAAATAAGCCTCACAATTCAAAAATAAAACTGTGACATAAACAGCTAACCTTCACCTGACTGAAATTCTAAACTGAAGCTTACAGTTAACTTGCTTCTTCCTTTAGTCACTTTTTTCCACTAAATTTTATGCTGCTCTAGGGTTAGTAGCAATTATTGTAGTGTTAAAACTTTTATGCAGTCATAGTGAAGAAAGTATCTTCTACAAGGGTATACAAATCAAGCTAGTTATAGGGTTTATTTGAAAGATCCTATTAAAAATAGGTCAAGCTCATAAGAATTCCGAAAGAAAACAGTCCTACACATATTTCTGTATTTTACTTTCTCACATTTAAGAATATTAAATTAAGAAGCTCTGTTACTTAATTTACTAACACAAAGAATACCATGCTCACTGTAAATGTTCTCAGTCCAGAGTTTAAAAGTGTTCATAACATTGCATCACTTGAAAATAAGGTCATTAGTATTTACAGGTTTTTCAGCCCTATGGTAGTTACAATTCAGACAGTATTTTTACAGTAAGTGAAACTGCTAACAAATATTTTACAATTTATGTCAATCAATATAAACAGCAAAATATGCATACAAAAAATTGCAATCATATCAGTAATTTGTCACATATTTCAAGCAAAAGAAATTTTCAAAGTTAAAGAAAATGTTGCCGTATTCTCCAAAAATGGGCAGTTTCAAATCCTGGTTGTTTTTTTTAACTACTGCAACTAATTACTATGCTGTATTTATCCCCAAGTAATTTAAATTATTCGAATCAACATCCATAATAGTCAACTTGTACAATGTAATTTTCCATTCCTTTTATATTCGTATCTTTTTTATATCCATATATCCATAATATGTCAAATTTTCTCCAGAACTTTGGAGAGGCATAGAGAAAAGGGAATCTGTTCTGCCATCCATGTTCATCTTGCACTTGTTGGCAGAATGACACCATTGGATGCAATCTTTATTTTTCAGATTTACCTCCCTTCCATATTCAGATTTACCTAATACAAAGATATGCCTCCATAAACCTTACTTAACATGCTAAATGTATTTTTTGGGCACTTTCTAGCCAGAAAAAGTTTGTCTTTATTCTGAATGGTACTTTCTTCTAATACATTGCTAAGTGCTAAGAAAAATTAAGATCAGACTCATCAGACATCCTATTTCAGAATTGTGTAAGATCAATGAATCAGCAATTTGAATGTGAAAAAAAAATCATATTCTTTTAAAACGTGTCTTTATGCAAATGTTTCAGAGAAGAAATATTAACACAATCTTTTAAGAAATCATTTGGCTAGAATTATATTGATACACTGTATGTAGTATTAAGCAGTTTGCATTAGGAGAGAAACAAGGACAATTATCCAAATAGGGAATCTGGTACATTCTTTAATATGCTGAATATTGATCAACTGGAAAAGTTGTAGCTAGGACTATTAACTGCTCCAGGCAGAGAATGCATGAAAAATAAATCAACTGATGAACAATAAGCTGTATATACAAAAATAATGAAGTCCAATTTTCACCTAAATAAAAATTTACTTTGCATATCCTCATAAGGCTAAAACTTTCAAAGTAAAAAGAGAACACACACATAACTGTTTATGGCAATCATCCATATTATATTTTGAAAGGCAAAGAAAATTCCTAATTCCGCAAATTTGGGTCATGCTACTTTTAAAAAATATATTCATTGGTAATTTTTAATGAAGGCATAGCCTCATTCACATTTTGATCTAAACGTTGATATCCAACTGTTCTGGAACACAGACCATCTCGCCACCTTCTATTCTGAACCAACAAAATTATCTGAAAAAAAAAAGATAATTTTAAAGTTAAAACATCTGCATGTTTAAAAAGATTTATAACAATATTTTCAGATTATTCTTTGCAAATTTTATATACTTTTCATCAAGTCTTCATATTCACGTTAGGTTCTTAATAACAAGGTTATTATCCTTGACTGATAGGTTTCATAGCATAATTACATAAAATATATTTTGCTTGATTTTGCCCATTTATGATTGAGCCAAAAATGATTTACAATAATTTTTCCTTAAAAATCAGTGCCAGCTTTACACTTTTAAAGGACAAACCTGACATGCTGCAATTAAAGAAAAAGCAGAAATGAATGATAAACCCTGATACATATCCTTATGTTATTCAACAAGATCCCAGTTATACTGAGACTATAAGGATAGATAAACTACAACAGAAAATCCAATGTCCTATAAGTGAAACTGAGTGCAGATATGGAAGAAAGGATTTTTATTTCCATGGGTGCTGTCCTTTTTAATTTGCCCTAGTCTAGGTTACATCTGTGAATCTAAAACCCAGTTAAAATACACCACCAATAGCAAGTCTGATTAAAATTTTAAAAAAGCTTCAACAAAAGAATTTACTGTTTTCTTAACAAAGAAGACTTCTATATTAGTACAGATATTGTAGAAAATATAACTACGGACAGAGGAAGACAAATCTCAGATTTAAATAGGCTTATAGACAAAATCCATTCTGCCACCTTGAAGTAGTTTTGTGATAAATCCACAATAAATAAAAGGAAGCTATGAACAGCAATGATACTTACATGTCTCAGAAAAACAAATGTAAAATTTATGATAACATTTCACAATTTATGTAATCTGTTAACCTGCACATTAATTCATAAAATGCTGGAACGTTTACTAGTTTTCTGCCTTAATATTTATTTTTCCTAGTTTGCTTAGACTTGTTTGTTGTTATTTTTGCAAAATATTAGAAATGCTGTGTAAAGATTAATTTCAAGCAGATTAACAACCACTTGGAAATTCCAGGTGTTAAATTATCTCACTATTCTGCATTAGAAATTTAATCTGAAATTTTCTGAAGTTTGTGACTTTGCATTTTATAATTTAGCATATTCAACTTTTCTTAGCCCTTATTTTCCAGAATAATCAAGAAAATAAAAAATATTTAATATCTATGAGATTTCCAGCTTATAAAATTTACCAATAAGCTAATTAACTCTCTAAATTTCAAAATAACAATATTCTAATATTAATATCAAACTGAAAATTGTTAAAAAGCCCATCCTACCTTTCTCTTATTGTGATATGTGATATAAACTACAGCAACCAAAAAGGCAAAAATAACAAGGTGAAAAAAGAAATGACTGTCATCTTCCAATGCTGAGACTGTAGTGTCCTTCATGTTATGAGCAAATGACTTCTTATTCTCGAAGTTTCCCATCCCTGAATCTTCTGCAAATTCTGACACATCTTGGTCATCTTGATTATTCTGAGAGTTAGAGGCTGCATCATAGATGACATAATCTTTAGGTTCTTTTGCTGTTGGTAGGGAACTAGTAAATATATTTCTGTCTGTCATGTCATATTCTTTACTATCTGCATCTTCTGAAACATCAATATTTTGTTGATTAAGGCTAACAGTTTCTGAAGGTGACACAGGAGGCTGGACTACTTTATCTTCTGCTAGAGTGGGTGCATGTATAACAGAAGTATCAACTTTCAAAGAAGTTGCAAGCGTATCTTCATTTGTTTTATTCCGTATACTGTTCTCACTGGTTGCAGACATAACTGAGGATAAATTCTGGTTTTCATCCTTATGAATTGACTTAGCATTCTGAGGTATTTCTGCTTTAGGTGTAGTATCTTGAAGAGGAAAAAATAAGAATAATTTAAAATCTTTAACAGATTATTTTACAGTATATAAAGATACACAAATTGATATGGTTTGAGGATTAACAATATCTCAGATGACAAACCTACATATATGCATACACACACACACATGGAAACGTATATACATATCTACACACAAATTGATATGGTTTGAGGATTAACAATATCTCAGATGACAAACCTACATATATGCATACACACACACATGCAAACTTATATACATATCTACATACACACACACACACACATATATATATATATAAACTAACTATTGAGCAGCATGCAAATCTGTGAAAACAAGACACAGCTGCACAAGGCATTTTACCATATCAACACTATCTCATGACTCATATGACATAGGTTGTATCTATATTACTATTAGCATTGCTTCTAGTTAAATGGTTACTTGATCCACACATAATTCATTGGTGGTTTGTAGGATCCCACCTATAATGACATACCGTGTTTCCCCGAAAGTAAGGCCTAGCTTGATTTTTTGGGGGGTTGGGCCTAATGTAAGCCCTACCCCAAAAATAAGCCCTAGTTTTAGGGCAAGGTGCACACCTAAAAAATCAAGCTAGGGCAGGAGTGGGGTAGAGATTTCCATTGCAGCCAGGCCTCCCATGGATCAACACTTGTCTCACCCACTTTTTCTGCAGTTGAAGGAGCAGCTTCATTCTGTAGTTGAGCATGGAGCTCCGGCCTACATTTCGCAGTCAGAGGCCTTTCCGGAAGACCTCTGCAGCCGAGAACCTAGCTATGAATTTCAATTTTTCTTTCCCAGAGAGCAAAAAGACAGCTAAGCTTGGAGTCTTTAGTATTGAGGAAAAGGACAAAGGCAGACCCTCCCTAGCAATCCAGTATCTATTATTTTAAATGGGAACTTCCTCAATAGGAATAGGTTTGGTTGCCTTAATCACTGTATGCCTTAATGACACAAATTGTGGAATGAAAAAGAAAAACAATGTCTATGTTAGTTCTCCTGGATCCTAGTGATTGTTAATAACAGGAGCTGGATTACTGTATCCATTAGGCCGGGTTGGTTTTATGGGCAGGAATATATTATCCATCCAATTTTATGTTGAGCTGAGGGATTCTTATTTTTGTGTTCTGACTTTTGTTCTGTAAAGCAGCACGAAGTTTCAATCTATCCCATGAACCATGTATACTGGAATTCAAGTGTGTAGTATCTCAAATATATAACAATAGTTTTAATTTATTAACATCAGAGAGACTGTGAAAGTCTTGAACGGATGTTTTTAAGATCAATGATAGAATGCAAACTGGAACTTAATATAATAAATAGTCATTCTTGAGTTAGAAAATCTGCTGATTATAAAGTGTACCAAATAAACATAAACAGATGATTTATCACTATGGAAACACAAATCATGACAAAAACTCTATATGTCTTTCATCAAATTAATGTGATTTTAGTTATGGCCTTAAATTAGGAAAGTGGACCTGGTCTTGCTGCACCTTGCTATATTCAAATTTGGTTAGTATAAGGCAGTGATGGTGAACCTTTTAGAGACCGAGTGCCCAAAAACTGGCCCCGCCCCCACTCCATTCCCCCTGCTCGCCCCAGCTCTGCCCCATCCCCTACCCCAGGACCACTTACCGCCTCCAGGGCTCGCCACAGATCGCCCAGGCAGCCCAGCAGCGCTATGGCGGCCACACCCTCTGCCCGCGCCCTGCAGCATCAACTGCATGATGGGGTGTGAGGGCAGAGTCTTGTCTATGCTGCTGGCTGCCATGTCCTTGTCTGTGCTGCTCTGTGTGGGCCACGCTCGAGGGCGAGTCTCCTTCAGGGGGGCTGCTGGAGAGGAGAGGGTCACGGAGGGAGGCAACGCTGGGGCAACGGCACGTGTGCCCAGAGAGAGGGCTCCAAGTGCCTCCTCTGGCACCTGTGCCATAGGTTCGCCACCACTGGTATAAGGTATATAGAACTGCTTTTAAGGATGATTCCTAGACTTTAGCTAGGAAAGATTTATATGTTCTGAAGAAAAACCAAAATATACTAGTCTTGAGCCATAATAATTAAGGTTTAATCTTACTGGACTTTGGCTACTACATAATATACATGCTGCAATTAGAAACTCCAGTACTGCACTAATTGTCAGTACATTTCTGCTCCTAATTCAAATCCTGACTTTGACCACACATTGCCTAATGCAATACTGGTGAACCTATAACTCACATGTCAAATGTGACATACCACATTCTGGATGACACACCAGTGTTCACCAAACCCGACAACTATTCTTTGAAATTACACTCCATTACTGCACAATTTTTGGAGGCTGTGAAAGCCGCACAAGAATGGAGTTGTGTGCTTGTACAGCCTCTCAATCCTCTGAAAATGAGTTCTCATATTTCATTTTTTAAATTATTTGATGCTTCTTTATATAATACACAGCACCACACAAGATTAGGCTCTATATTTTTTAAAAAAAATAAATAAATCTGTAAAGAATTGGTTTGCTTTTGTTCAGGAGTGTTGGGGAGGATGATATGCTACCAGAGTCAAGTTAGGCATTTTCCAAATTTTTTGACAAGCCCAAAAAGTTTGCCATGACTGGTTAGCATCAGGCTAGAAGCCAGGAGACTGAGTTCTAGTCCTGCCTCAGGCATGAAAACCGGCTGTATGACTTTGGGCCAGTCATTCACTCTCAGACTAACTCATAACACAGGGTTGCTGTTTTAGGGAAAATAGGAGGAAGAAGTACAGTATTAGGTACACTCACTGCCTTGAGTTATTTATAAAAATAAAGGTGGGATAAAAAAAAATCTATAAAAGTTATTTGAAAAATTGCTTACATTCATATGAGCCTGTTTGTGTTTAACATCAATTATGAATAGGCTGCTCATGAGTCTACCATTAAGATCAGTACAAATAGCATCACTCTACTAAACTGCCTCCTGACAACATTATGACTGCTTTTAGAAATTATTCTATTTTTCAATTTGTAGTTTTAAAGATTTTTTTCTTAATGGGTACTTAAATTGTACTGGAATCTGTTCTTATCTACAATTACACTTAATAATATTATATTTCTTTATCATGTTATCCTATAAATTGCTTTGAGAAGTGCATATTCTTGAAAGATAGGCAGGAAATGGATAAATGTATCCAACAGGATTGCCAAGCTATCCTTTCTTCTTGAAACAGGTTCACTAACGAAGCTCAAATATGCGTAATATCAACACAAGAACTATTCATAAATTGTATAATTATTCTATGAACTATTCTTTCCATGAATTAAGAATACATGGAAGTTGCCCTCTTTTCCTTTCCAGAAACCCAGCCATTTAATTTGCCTCAAAACTAAACAATATTACAGCTTAGGTGCATGTGTATAAACACACATATTACTGAAAAGGACGGTTAAAATTCCAGTAAAGTCATGCAATTCTCTCCATTACACAACTACAGAGCGAAGACATGCAGCAGTTGCACCAAAAGAGGAAGCAGCATATACATGCACATACATGCATACATACACACAGTGTATAGGTATGTAGAAAGTTTGAGAAAGAGAGAAATGTTAAACACAGCCTTTCTTTCAGAGGTTGTACAGTCCTTTATACAGAACGTGTTAATTAGGCGGGAGCCAGGCTTAGGGCAACCCAGACAGACCGATCAATCCGAACCAACAAAAAGCAAGAAAGCGCCACTTTCATCCCCCGAAACCTCCTCCAAAGCCCGAGAGGCCTCCAGTCCCGGCAACGCCGAGATTCATCGGTTGAGGAGGAACAAAAGAGGCAGAGGCCTTCCATGTACCGAGGCACAAGCTCCATCATCCCCAACCAGAACGGCCACTCCGCCGGGCTGTGGACGATAGGGCCGGGTGTGATCCAACCCGTCTATGCGGTGCGCCGGAAAGAAGCAGGTTGCCCAAGGCTTATAGAAAGGGAAGCAGACGGGACAGCAGCGCGGCCGCTGCGTGATTTTATTCCAGCCAATCTTCCCAGCCGACCCCGGAACTCGCCGCTTTCTCCATCAGCACTTCGCGCACGCCGTTTATCCACCTTTCCCGCCTCGCCGAGCGAGCGATCGCGCCTCACCGTCTGGAAGCTGGGCCCGAAGTGAGAAGGCCAGGAGCAAAAGAAAAAGCGACGTTCGCGCCAAGGACGACAGCGACAGCGCCTCCCCCATCGCGGTACACTTCGCTCTCCGCTCGGTGGCCGCCATGGCTGCCGCCATACTGTCGCCGGGGGACGTGGCCTCGTCCAGACCCGCCCACCCGCGTTGCTAGGCAACTGCGTTCGGCAGAAGGGGAAGTCTCTGACGAAACGGGCTCTCCTCCGCTGAGCTGGTTACGCTCCTCACCCAACCTTCACTTCCTACGAAGGTATATATATATGTACGATGTCATGCATAAAGCGGGGCCTCGTCTGAATAGGCACTTCCGGGCTTCCTCTGCAAGAATCTCTATTAGAAAAGGAAACTCGGCATATGTCATTCTTCACGTTTCCATCTCTCACAGATTCTAATAGAAATCCGAAATCACCGAAGGGGCCGGGTATTTTTTGATGATACAATATTGTACGAACTCTACGTTATTTGCCTTGGAAAGTAAAATGTGCGGCTCTTGGTGTTCTCTGAGCTTGTTTTCTTGCAGGTGCTTTATTACCCAAACTAGGTAACACCATTAGTGCTAGTAGGTCATAGGGTAGTGATGGCAAACCTTTTAGAGATCGAGTGCCCAAACTGCAACCCGAAGCCCACTTACATATCGTCGGGTGCTGGTGGGCGTGGCCCGTTGGGTGGGCGTGGCTGTGGTGGTAACAGCAGACTGGGTTGGGCTAAAAAGTTCCATCAATTCCAACTTTGGGAGATCTTTTTTTTCCCACTAGTTGAAATTGATTAACTTTTTTTTTTTTTTTTTGCACATGGCAGTGGAGGCCTAAAGCGAAAAGGTTTTATAAAACCCAGCTGGGGCGATGGTGCACATGCCCACAGAGAGCCGCTCTGAGTGCCACCACGGGCATAGGGTTTGCTCAGTTTATATTCAAATGGCTTGCCTAATCAAGTGGTCTTAATGTTTTGGTTGGTTGGGTTGTTTACTGTGGCTGAACTAGCTTTCTTGAAATCTGCTGTAATAGTTGTTAAACTACAAGTCATTGAGGATTACCTGTAATCCTGTCTCATAATGAGAGTGACCAGTCCAAAGTCACCCAGCCAGCTTTCATGCTAGAAACTAGAATTATTTATTCTGTAGCATAGTCTAATTCATATCTACAATTGTCAGAAGAAATTCCATTTTTTACTAGCAGGGTGGATACCTTAGTATTCTAATGCTGATATGGCACTTACACTGTTTCCTTTTGCATACACGCTTAACACAAAATTAATATTCTTGCAGGAAATATCGAGAGGTACAGCTATAACTCAGCATTTAATTGATTCATGGATGTTGTCCTATGTTCAGAATAATTGACGCAATTGTCTCTACAAACATATTACCATATTGACAAACCCAGAGGACATTATATTTGATTTGACAATAACTGTTTAACTGGCCTCTCATAACTTGTTTATAATGCTAAATTTCTAAAACTCCAAAATTCAAATCCTTTATTCAATAATTCTCTAATATTTTTCCATTGGCTTAGACTTAAGTTATTTCCTGCCATGATGTCTGTATCACTTTGCATTATTCACAGAATCTTACAAAGGGCCAGGTAGGCCCTTTTTGCTCAACATTTCTGTTTTCCTTTCTTGAGAAAAATTCCTAGGTGCCATACCTCATTTATTAGAACTAGAGGTCCACCATTTGGAAAGACGATTAAAAAGGTTTTATAGCAGTCTAAAATGAAGGCAAGATCAAAAATACCATGAATGTAACCTCATGTTCACCAAAGACAATTTTTGTGGATTCACCCAGTGACCTGACCAAAATCACCCAAAAACTGTTTTTAACTTCATACTTGATCCTCAGTTGCTTTGATTCCAGAAACTGGAGTGAGCATGCACAACTATCTCTATAGGAGGATAAAAATCCTTACATATTGCTTTTTTGCAGTATTTCATTGCCAATTAAGGATTTTGAAATGCACTACAAAGGTGGGCAATAGTTTTTGAAAAGGTGTTCTATCGTAATAAGCAGAACTGTTTGTTCTATCATGAGCCGAACTGTTTCATAGAAATCATAATGCTATTTCACTAGTTATCAACAGAAAAGCTAGAGTGTTTCATAAACTCCCAAATAGGAATGTTAAAATTACTTAATAAGACAGACACAATTAGAGATGAAGATGTTTTATTTATGTTGGAGGGAAGATGTACTTTATCTTTAACTTTAAGTGGTGTCCAGTACAGCATTTAGGGTCTAGTTCCACACACACACAAAAATGGAAAACTGAAAAATGTATCCATTAAAACTGCTTTTTTTTAAAAAAAAAAGTGATAAAACAAAGTCCATTTTGTTTAATGCAGTGCCACTAAGGGATTACAACAACAGGTTTTTTCGGTTCATTGCTCCGTTGTACAAGCTTTTCAATAATCAGTGCAATGGAAAGGATATAAAATTTTAAGTAGGATTGGCTGATTTACATTAAACTTCCTACACACCAAAGTAGTACGACGTGAACATTCTAAAGCACTCTAAAGTTGTTGGGTGTAAAAGAGAGCAGTAGGAGGGAAAAATGGGACTTAAACGGGTGTGATGCACCTGCCTTGGCAACCTCTTGAATAAACGTGAATGCTCCATTAGAGAATGAAAGCCTGATGACTTAGATAACAGAAAACAGTGTTTTCTGCACCCTGTGATGAATCAGCATTTTCACAGCATGAATTTCAGATGTGTCTTCCATTACAATCATCATCAAATTTACGAAAGGTAATTCCTTCATACAAGAGTTGATAAGCACAAAGCTCCAACCAACAATATATACCAAATGCCCGGAACTAGAGAAAGTACTTCCATCTTTCTCTGAAAATACATGCTCTTGAGGTTTAGCCTTTAACCAGATTTAATATGACTGACACACAGCAATAATTGCATCCCAGACGTAAAACATTGAAAAATACACTAAATCCAGAAGGTAGCTATGCTGTATAGTGTTTCAGAATTAGTGATGGTAAAATCCCTTCTTTTATGCTTCAAATTCCAGTCCTAGACCCAGCTTATGGCCACCTGCATTGATGTTCTTCCCATCCAGTAAAGCAGACAATGTCAATTTGATACCTAGGCAGGAAATAAGAGAAAGGGTATTAGCATAGATTTGTAAACATTGCAAGGATATTTCAAAGAATCTGATTAGGAAAAATATTGGAAGTTCATAAAAAGAAACTTATGTAGAGAAAGAGACATTTACTTTTCCTGATATGCAATGAATTCAAATTCAATTGCTGAAATACTTATAATATTAAGGATCCACCAGAATAATATCTATGATTCTTATCTATTTAGATTTAGTTTGGTGATAAACCATAGATACATCAGGACATAATTTTATGACTTCATAGAAGATAGCATTTGCTGGCTTTCACACTTTGGCAAAGGTAGTAGCAGATAATATTTCTTCAATGAAATGAAAATTCAGAGCCTAAAAGAACTGATGGAACACAACAATTCAATTATTGGCAAAAAAAAAAAAAGTTTTAAATCATCTGTACATACCTGGCTTCAGAATCTGAGTATATCCTAAACCAATCAGACTGGAATTATTCACTTTAGCCTGCAAAATAAAGTCAATCATATAACAATATTCTTTCAAAGTGTTTGCTGAATAGCTCATAAACAATTCACCAAGAAAGTGAATATGTCAAATATTTTTGAATACTTCACTAAATTCAGTGAAAGTGCTCCTAATTCCTTGTGTAAACTTTATAGCAACTAGAGGTTTGCAGAGGTCATGTTTTAGTTTGAAGTCACTCAATTTGGTCATTCTGAAACTTTCAATAATAAAAACTTTCATGTGGCTTATTGTTAACTCAGAACAAAAATATGGTAGTTCCATACACACTTCCACCCAATTATTATCCGGGTGCATGTGATAATCCAGAAATGTCAGTTACTCACAATACACAATCAGGCAGAGTTAATATACTGATATGGGTAATTCAGTGAGAGATAAGAAAGTTGCATACACCAAACTAATCTAAAGAAAACTAGAAAAAAAAATAATTTTAAGACCATGCCACTGAGTGGAAAGCAGCATTTTAAGAACCTGTATTTATGACAAAGCATATGGTACAAGTTTCTCTTTTCTCCCAATGCTTCTTTACTTGTTTGTACCTCATTTGATAAAGAAACAATTCTGTGAAGCAAGAAAAAGGAGTATTGACTAAATGTTATAGTGAAATCATTTCTTCAAACAATAATTGCCTTTGAAATTGAAGGCGCTCTAATCCATCACTGTCACAGAATCAAATTCTACTTACAGAAAACGATGCATCTGAATCAATCTGATATTTGGCTGCTATTCCAAAGCGGGTGTTGCTATTTCCAGCTGTCCAAGCAAGATTGACAGCAGTTTCTAATTTATCATTCACCTTCTGATAAATGGAGCCTCCAAATTCCGTACCATCATTTCTATAATACATTTAAATGCTACATGTCACGACAATCTTATTCATGAAAATATAGATTAGCTTTGAAAGATAATTTAAAACATTTTAAAAACTCACCTACTTCATCAGTTAAGTTACAGAAAGATTTGCATAATCCTAACAATTTAAAGAAAAATATCCCAGGGGCCCAGCCACATCACGTCCCCAATGCAGTAACAATTACATGTATTTTCTGCATGTTTATAGCTATTGCAAATGTGAGTAAAAACAGATAAGTGCTTCAATAAGAGTAGTGACCATTTGAAGTTACAACAGCATTGAAAAATGTGACTTATAACCATTTTTCACACACATGACTTGTTGCAATATCCCCATGGTCTCGTAATCAAAGTTCAGATGCTTGGCAACTGGCATGTATTTGGCAACTGGCATGTATTTGTGAAAGTTGTGGTGTCTCAGGGTCATGTGATCATCTCTTGTGACCCTCTGACAAGCAAGCAAAGTCAATGGGGAAGCCAGATTCACTTAACAACCATGTTGCTAGCTTAACAACTAGTGATTCGTTTAACAGCTGTGGCAAGAAAGGTCATAAAATGGGGCAAAAATTACTTGTCTTGCTTAGCAACAGAAATTTTGTGCTCAATTGTTGTTCTAAGTTGAGAACTACTTATAAAGCAGGAGTAATATTTGAACTAATTCCTTTGCTTGTGTATTTTGGAATCTATTTA